GGATCTCAGGGTCGTTGAGAGTGAGACCCACGTGGGCTCCACATTCTGAGCTGCGTCTGCTTAACTCTCTCTCTCCCTCTGCCCCTCCCCTTGCGCAGTCTCTCTATCTCTCTAATTAGTAAGTAAATAAATAAATACAAAGTTGAAATGAGGACCCTGGGATCATGACCTGAGCCGAAGGCAGAGGCTTTAACCCGCTGAGCCACCCAAGTGCCCCCAATTTAATTTTTTTTAAAGATTTTATTTATTTGAGAGAGAGAGTGAGTGAGTGAGAGAGAGCACAAGCAGGGGGAGAGGCAGAGGGAAAGGGTGAGGGGGAAGCAGGCTCCTCACTGAGCAGAGAGCCCAATGTGGAGCTCCATCCCAGGACCCCAGGTCATGACCTGAGCCGACCAACTGAGTGACCTGGGCACCCTGGATATACTGGATTACCAAATATATGAAGATTCATTTACCAGTTGTTTTCTACCTTTTTATTTATTTGCTTAAAAAAATTTATTTCTTTATTTGAGAGAGAGAGCGCACGAGCTGAGGGAAGAACAGAGGGAGAGGGACAAGCAGACTCTGTGCTGAGTGTGGAGCCTGATGGGGGGGCCTTGATCCCAGGGCCCTGAGATCATAACCTGACTGAAATCAAGAGTCCGAGGCTTAACCGATTAAGCCACTCTGGCGTCCCTCTATTAAACGAGGCTACTGGAAAGTCTTAAATTACGTCTGTGGCTTGCATTTTTTTTTTTAAAGATTTTATTTATTTATTTGACAGATCACAAGTAGGCAGAGAGGCAGGCAGAGAGAGAGAGGAGGAAGCAGGCTCCCCGCTGAGCAGAGAGCCGGATACGGGGCTCGATCCTACGACCCTGGGATCATGACCTGAGCCGAAGGCAGAGGCTTTAACCCACTGAGCCACCCTTGTGGCTTGCATTTTGTTTCCAGTGGGTATGGCTGAGCCAGAGAGTGCTTGCTGGTAGGAAGGATTGTTCTGAGTACTCAATGTATGGTGTTTCATTTAATCTGACCGTAACTCTCAGAGGTGGCTAGTATTCATGTTTCTGCAGAGGTGGAAATCTGAGGTGCAGAGAGTAAACGGCCAGAGACTCGCCACCAGCAAGGAGCATAGTGGGGGTCTGAACCCCCGGTGGAGTCCCTCTGCCTAACCAATGTGCACTTAACTTCTACCCCACACTACTGAGTACAGGCACTACTGTGCTGGGACAGCCATATAGCCATCAGAGCGGAAGGAACAGCACAGAGATATTTCATGGACTAGATGGCTTCTGTGCCTTTGGCCATGGAGTGACCCCACCACAGGAATCTGCTTTCTCGGTGGCTGTTTCCTTACCCTGGGGACTCTGTATTCAGTTTTAGCAGGGCTGTCTGTCTGCCTTGTCAATGCAAGTTAATCTTTAGAAAGCATATAACGATCCACTGAGCACTCTCTAACCCAGCCTATGCACTAGAAACAAAAGGCAAGCCATGTATGTAATTTACAATTTTCTAGTAATTTTTAAAAAAGTAAAAAGAGGGGTGCCGGGTGGCTCAGTCGGTTGGGAGTCTGCCTTCAAGCTCAGGTCATGATCCCAGGGTCCTGGGATTGAGACCCACTTTTCCCTCTACCTCTGCTGCTCCCCGTGCTTGTGTTCTCTCTCTCTCTCGTCAAATAAATAAATAAAATATTTTTTAAAAATTTATTTATTGGGGCGCCTGGGTGGCTCAGAGGGTTAAAGCCTCTGCCTTCAGCTCAAGTCATGATCCCAAGGTCGTGGGATTGAGCCCCGCATCGGGCTCTCTCCTTGGTGGGGAGCCTACTTCCTCCTCTCTCTGCCTACCTCTCTGCCTACTTGTGATCTCTCTCTGTTGAATAAATAAATAAAAAATCTTAAAAAAATTTATTTTTGGGAACCTGGGTGGCTCAGTGGGTTAAGCCTCTGCCTTCAGCTCAGGTCATGATCTCAGGGTCCTGGGATCGAGTCCTGCATCGGGCTCTCTGTTAGGCAGGGAGCCTGCTTCCTCCTCCCTCCCTCTCTCTCTCTCTCTGCTTGTGATCTCTCTCTGTCAAATAAATAAAATCTTTTAAAAAACATTTATTTTTGGAAACCTGGGTGGCTCAGTGGGTTAAGCCTCTGCCTTCGGCTCAGGTCATGATCCCAGGGTTCCTGGGATTGAGCCCCGCATCAGGCTCTCCACTCGGCAGGGAGCCTGCTTCTCTTTCTGCCTGCCTATTTGTGATCTCTCTCTCTCTGTCAAATAAATAAAATCCATTAAAAAAATTTTTTTTAAAGATTTTATTTACTTAACAGACAGAGATCACAAGTAGGCAGAGAGGCAGCAGAGAGGGGTAGAAGTAGGCCCCCTGCCTCACAGAGAACCCCATGGGAGGCTCCATCCCAGGACCCTGAGATCATGACCTGAGCTGAAGGCAGAGGCCCAATACACTGAGCCACCCAGGCGCCCCTATTTATTTTTTTAAATAAAAAAGGTAAAAAGAAACAAGTAAAATTGTTTTATTTACTCCAATATATCCTAAATGTTACTGTATCAACTTGTAATCAATATAAAAAAGTGTGGCTTTGCTGACCCTTTTGTCTCCCCATTTTCACTCCCTATCTCATATTTCATGCTGCAAATTCCTTCCAGTCCTTCCAATGCACCATGGCCTTTGTCTTAACCATAAGCCTTTGCATATGCTGTTCCAGGCAGCTGGGAATGCTGTGAGGCTATTCATTCTTCATACTGGCTTATTTGCTTTCCTGCCTGCCTTTTTGGACTGTATCCCCGAAGAAGGCAGACACCGTATTAGTTATATTTATCACTGTATCTCCAGCCTGAGCACAGCTTTTGGTCCAGTGCAGGCACCATTAAATATCTCACCTCTGAGTGAACTGATGAGTGACTTCACTAATTATCTTCTGAGTCTTCAATTAAACCAGGAACTTTCTAAGGAAAGGGACTGTGGTTTACTTCATTCCAAGTGCCAGGCATAATGTCCACCAGTCACTCAGCAAATATATATTGAGCAGCCCCTCCTATATGCTGCACACGTAGTAATGGACATGGTTCCTGCCCTCACGTGCTTTTCCTCTAAGAGGATGAGGGACATTTATCAAATAATCTAACCACTACATGTAAATTGCAGGAGTGAAAAGTGTCTACAAAACAGAGGTACATTAAAGGTGTTGGGAGGGCAGGAGACAGCATGACTTGCCTGGTTGTGGAGCAGTCTTGGCTCTTGAGTTTTAATAGAGGAGGTTGTGGTAGCCAAAGGTGAGGCTCCTGGTTCTGCCTTCAAAAAAGAGCTTGATGATGGGTCACCTGGGTGGCTCAGTGGGTTAAAGCCTCTGCCTTCAGCTCGGGTCCTGATCTCAGGGTCCTGGGATCGAGCCCCGCATCTGGCTCTCTGCTCAGCAGGGAGCCTGCTTCCCATTCTCTCTCTGCCTGCCTCTCTGCCTATTTGTGATCTCTCTATCAAATAAATAAATAAAATCTTAAAAAAAAAAAAAAAAAGCTTGACGGGTGCTTGGGTGGCTCAGTTGGTTAAGCGACTGCCTTCAGCTCAGCTCATGATCCTGGAGTCTCCGGATGGAGTCCCACATCAGGCTCCCTGCTCAGCGGGGAGTCTGCTTCTCCCTCTGACCCTCTCCCCTCTCATGCTCTCTCCCTCAAATAAATAAATAAAATCTTTTAAAAAAAGCAAAAAAGAGCTTGGCACCGAGATTGAGGAATGACAGCTTTCACATGCAGGGTTTTTGGGGCAAGGCTGAACTCTTCCTCCAGGGCACCCCCAGCCAGTGGCTGAACATGGACGACCTCAGTGAGTGAGGGGGGTGGGGGTGGGGACTGGGGCCTGAACACTTCTGCTCAGTGAGGCTCCTCCAAGGAGTTTTAGCTCATTTATCTTTGTCAGATCTGAGTCCTTGCGGGATCCTGTTTCTTCCCCTTTCTCTTTCACAAGCGTTACCTGCCCCCCGCCCCCAACTCCAGCTCAACATTTGCTTCCTGGAGGACCTGACCTGACCCAGAGGGTCTTGGGGGCTGGGTTCTGGTGGGCAGGGGAACTCCAAGTTGTGCCTACAGGGCATTTTTATATAGAATTGACAAACTACCCTTGCTCTTTGCAAAGAGAGGGGGGAAGGGCTGATAGCCATAGAAGCCTCTATGAGAATTAACTTCTATAGTAGCTACCCGGTGTCTGGCACTCCGTGAATGGCAGCTGTTACTATTATCTGATTTGTACACATCTCCTCTGGGCTTTGGGGTGGCAGAGGGTGTTTCAGGAAACTGTGCCTGGCACTGGGTGTAAAAGCCCTTGAACTTTTTCCTTCAATGTCTAAGGTGGCGTCCCCTCTGCTCCAAGTTTTGGGAAAGTTTCCCTCTAGGGACGGTGGACATGTGGAAGATTAAGGGATATATAACTTCGAAAGCATTGAATCTGGCCCCAAAGTCCGGATTGCGAGCTGCACTGCCATCGGTCCAGAGGTCGACCCCAAGAAAGGTCCTCCAAAGGTTCCCTGCTTTGCCTGTACTGACTTAGGGTCCTCCTAGGAGGTGACCTACTGGGAGATAGGCAGATAGAATGGTGGACAAATCTAACTCTCCAGCGGATGGACATGTGATGAGTGAGTGACTGATGGATGGACAGACGCAGGTCAGACTGAGATGTCAACACAGGAGGGCTGGCGTGTGACTTTGAGACGGACAGAGACTGACCACAGGGCTTGAAGAGCGGCAGAGCCTTAAGGGCAGAGTCTCCCACCTGCCGGTTCGGCCGCGAGGGGGCGCTGCCGCTCGCCCGGCGTAGCCCTCTGCCGGCCGGGCGCGCGCTCGCCGGCCGGCGGTGGGGCGGGGTTAGCGTGAGCACCGGGCGGGGCCAGCTTGCTCCGGGGGGCGACAGCGGGCGGGGGCGGGGCGCGCGTGCTCGCGGGGGCGGGGCGCGCGGCGGGCGCGGGGGCGCGCGGCGGCGGCGCGTTCCGTTCCCGGCCGAGGCTCGCAGCGGAAAAGTTGTGGGGCGGAGAGGAGCGGCCCCGGGACGGGCAGAGAGCGGGACGCCGAGCCGGCTCCCGGCGCCCGCGGTCCCGCCATGGACGACCTCGGTGAGTGAGCGGGAGGCCGAGGGAGGAGGCTGCGAGGGGCGCGCGGCCCCGGGCCGGGCGGGCGCGAGCGAGCGCCGGGGGCCGCGGGATCCCGCCCCCCGCGCCGGGGTCCTGGCTCTGCTCGCTGAATGCCAGGGTTCCGCCGGGCCCGGATGCCCGGCTGGGCCTGAGTCCTGGGCCAGGCCGGCCTTGCCGCGGTCCTCACAGCTACCAGCCCCCGCCGTGGAGACGGCCCCACCTCCGGACCCCGGACGTCGGACCATCTCCCAGACCAGCCGTAGGGGCTGGCTTGCACCTCAGGGACCCGCCCCGTTCGCCCCAGGGACGGACCCCCCACTGCCTGCACCACATTGCCTCCCCCGCTGTGGGACCCTCCCTTCACACACGGCTCCCCCACCCCCCACCTCACTGATCGGCGGCCCAACTCGGGGAACAACAGCTGCGGAAACTCGAAACTCTCTGTTGGTCCCTCATTTCCAGGACCTGTTCCCACCCCGTTAAGGACCCCCTTTCCAGGGATAGACCCTCCAAGACCACCCTTTCATTTCACAAGTTAGAGATGAGCCTCCAGTGACCACACCCCCATAAAGACAAGTTTTTCATCTGTCCCCACTACCCCCCCCCCAATACAGGTCTGGGCACCCTGTTTTATGGACTGGTCACTCCATTTCCCGACTGCTCTGTCCACGCTGTGGACCAGCCCCTCCCCTTTCCTATCACAGATCAGCCTAATCCTAGAAGAGTAAGCGGGGGAGACATGATTCTTCCCCCCGACTGCCAGGGTCTGGTGCAGTGCCAGGAGAATGAGGTGGGAAGTGGGCCCCAGGGTATGGCCATCTCTGGGCTTGTCCGGGCTGGAAGGGTTCCTCCCACCCGGCAGCATCCAACCTTGCTGGAGGCCACACAGGTAAGGAGGACAGGATGCCCAGAACAGAGTTTTACTGTTTTCATGTTATCAGAGCTCCCAAACTACTCTTTTCAGTCCAGGCTTGATCTGGCGTTAGGATGGGGAAAAGAATCTCCTGGAACCTGACACTAAACCCAAGGGGGTTGATGCCAGGGTTCTAGGAATGCCTTGAGTGGCCTGAACCCGGGAGTGAGAGGATTCACTCTTCACTCTCCCTCCCTCCCTTTCATGCCTGTAGCCAGAGGGCCTCTGAGCTGGGGAGGTATTGGGGGGGAAAGTTTCTTCTCTGTAGGAGCCTTGTCTTCCCTCTTTGGACTGTGGGTGGCTTGTGTGACCACTGATGCTTTCTCTGTCCCAGGCTCTGAGGAGTAGATTCATCGGACGGCCCTGAGTGGCCGCCCCCAACCACACAGGGCACTAAGTTAAGACTGGCTATTTGTAGGCACTGGACTTCCAAAGAGACAGGGAAGAGGACCGCCAGCTTCCTTTTGAAAAAGATCAGGGCGCCGCTGAGAGATCCTGGTGCTGGGAATGGTGCATAGTCCTGCCTGTTTTGCAGGGTGTGATGGCTGCCAAGCATAGTTCTGCCTTTGGGTCAGGCTTGGCACCCATTTTTCCAACACATTCGAGGTTGGCATGGCCTCCAGGCAGGTAGTTTGTTCACATAAAAAATAAGCTGAAAGGAGACTGGGGGATATTTTTTGAATCAGTATCTGGACGTCTCGATGCTTTCCCAGCAGGAACCAGGGAGCAGAGTTACAGTTTCTAAAACGCCGATGTGTTTCTGTTGCTCTTCTCCAGTCCCTTCCACACAGTACTGTTTGAAGGTCTGAGAGAGTTTTGTAGAGTGCACTCTTGGAGTCCAGAATTCCTGTCCTCTGACAGTCTTCCATTTAGGGCCAGGAAACCTGGTGAGTCTTCGGGAAAGTGTATCCTGGCAGAGGGGCCTGCAGGAACTGAAGTCTGCTGTTTATGGAGTGCTTGCCCGTACCTCAGCTTGTCCCCGTCCTCCCTCACAGCAGCCCTTTATAAGAGTCCCTTACTTAGGGCCCCTGCTGTCATTCCTGTCTGCTTTTTACAAATAGAGAAAACAGACTGAGAGAGGTTGATTGACTTGCCCCGGGCTGCGCTGCCACCGAATAACCAAGTCATGACTAGAATCGCAGTCCTTGGCTCTGAGATCTGCAGCTCCCGGGTACCAAGAGGCCTTTCTTCCTGAGGAGGGGGTGAGCAGCGCATGAAGGAGGGGTCGCAGGGGGTGGCGACTGCCACCTGTAACTTCTGTCGCCTTTCAGCACACGCTCCCCCGTTTTTCCAGGCTGCCTGACTTCCTCTGCCTAAGCTCCCAGGAGGCCAGCCACGCCTGGCTGCCCCGGAGCTCCTGGGGTGGGAGCAGTGGGGTGAGCAGGAAGGGGAGAGGAATTTGCCTCTGTGCTCGGGCCGCATCAGCTGTCTGGATGGCTGCGCCACACACCGCCCGTTCAGCTGTTTTCCTTAGTTAGGGTGGACACAAAGGCCAGGCCTCTTGTTTTTATTTTTCTCCTGAGAGTGCTCTCAGCTGTGAGCCTCCTGGTCCCTGGAACAGGGGAGAGTTTATGGTGTGTCCTGTGGCAAGGCTAGAGGGGGCAGAGTCTCTGCTGTGACTTTGTTTTTTTTGGTCTTGAACGTTGGGGAACTCTTCCCTCCCCATAGCGGCTAGTGACAGACACACCATGTGCTGTTTAATAAGTTACAAATTTATAGCTCTTTGGGCAGAAAAACATAAACATTGCCCTTCCCTGTGTGTTCTCTCCTCTTTGTGCTGCGGGGTGGCTGCTGGTGGCTTTTCCCATTACTGTTTAGATGCTGGTTTGGCCGGGAGTTCGCCCTGTTGAGTTCTGGCTGGAGTTTCCTGGACAGAGTTCCCACAGCACTGGGATGCAGTCTGATTACGGTTTCGGACCCAACTCCTCGCTCTCCTCTTGTTCACGTTCCTAGTGCTTCTGGGGGCCTGTGACCACAGCTGCGGCCCAGTAATGGTCATGTGTGCTTGGTGGGAGACAGGCATCGGTCTCAGCACTTTAGGCGTATGATCACTGACGCTTTGGAGAGAGGGTGGTTTTTATCTCCGCTTTACGAATGGGGAAATGAGCCTCTGGGAGGTTCACTGGGGCAAGCTGGGGTTGGAACCCAGACTGACCCCATTCCAGATCTGGCCATCTAAACCAGAACAAGGTTAAGTGCTAGGTGAGGTGACTAACTGTGAGGGGTGGTGAGCCCCGGGCCTGCTGACTGATTGCTAGTCACCTTCAAAATTTGGGCCCTGGGGGCCTTCCTGAATAAATGGCCTCTATGGCAAAGGGTGGGTGCAGCTCAGACCTTGATGGCTTTGCCTTCCCTTCTCTTGCAGGGGGAACAGCCAGCTGTTGGCAATGCCCAGTTGCTGCTAGAATCTGGACATGTCTTCTTTCAGCTTCTCAGCAGTCTTGACCCTCTGAAGTACAGTGCCTCATTGTCCTTAGGGGGAGTACTAGGGGGCAGGGGAGTTGCCTGGGGCATTCCGGGCTACGGAGCCTCCCTGTTTCCATGGAAAGTCTGGACTTTGGGCTTGCCTGTCTGTGGTGCCTCTGTGTGTTGGGCTGGGGTCAGGGCACCCAGCTGCTGGGCCCGCAGCAGAGGCAGCCCCAGGGAGTGATGCTGTGTTCCTCGGCAGGGCCAGGTCTCCTCTTGGGCTGTGCACTAGTGAGGTACAGAGCTGGGCTCCGAACCCTGGGGTGTTTGATTCTTAAGCAGGTGCGCTTGCCGTTGTGCCAAGCTGTCTGCGGCCTGGGCAGCCCCAGCCGGGGTGGAGAGGTTCGGGTTGCTGGGGCCATATCCCTGCCGCTGTGGATTGGAGGTCTTCCAAGGGAGCCTCACGGTATTCCCTCCAGCTTCCCCAGCAATGGCCGTGCACTGGGAGGCTGGGTGGGTCGTTGGCTGGAGGGGCCCTCAGAAGGCCAGAGTTACCACCGGGATACCGAGCAGTGCCTCTCCCCCATATAACTCAACTTGCATGGAGTGTGCTGATCCTCCAAGGCTTCCTTTGGCCTTTGCCTTGTTCCAGGGGGAGAGAGTTGAAAAACTCCTCCCACCTTCACCTCATTGCAGCTCTTCCCTGGGTTGTCCTAGTGTCGGTGCTTTCAGTAATAACAACAAACATCTGTAGAACTCCTTCCCAGAGTGTTTTGAGCACTTACTGTGTACAGGCACTGTGCCGGGCACTTTACATGCCTTGTTTCACTGACCTGTATCGGCCATAGGAGGCACAGGTTCTGTTATTATTACTACTGTCCATTTTACAGATGGTGAAACTGAGGCACAGAGAGGGTTAGCGCCCTGACCCAAATTCTGTCTACCAGTGAGTGGTAGGGCTGGGGTTTAAATGAGAGTCGGTCTTGTGACTGTCCTTACACCTCTCTGTTCATGATACTGGATCGGATCTTGCTTGCCTGTTGGTTTGATTGTTTTCCATTTCTAGGATGATAAAAATCTTTTCTCTCCCCTCCCCACAGCCTCCAATCTCTGTTTGATCTCCCCCATCCATCCTCTTCCTGTTCTCTGGGCTTCTTCCCCTTCCTTCAGTCTTCCTTGGGATGGGCTGCTGGACACTTGTGCAGGGTCTCCTGCTCAGTGCCCTCCCATCCCCTGTCACCTCCTCTCCAGTCACCTGTTCCCCTTGGGACAGAGGGTAGTCCTCTGAGGTCCCTCTTCTAGGCCTGGTTGGAATCACGCCCTCTGTGCCCCTGGCCCATACAGACGTGCTCCTGTCTTCATTCAGGTGTTTGGACTTGCTGCCAGTTGGAGCCGGCCCATTTCCAGAGGAGGAAGTAGATGAAAACTTTGAGGTGGAGAATTGAGAGTGTCCTCTGTGAGGGAGAGAGGGAGAGAGAGAATTGGGGGGAGCCGAGTATTCCCAGAAACCTTGACAAACCTCCTGATAAAAAGGGTGTTCCAGGAATTGTCTCCTCACCCGGGATAGGCCCCGAGCCTCCCCAGCCCCCAGGTCTACTTTGCCTTTTCATTGGGGGCCTGTTGGGAGTCTCACATCTGGCCTGAAGCGTGCATTCACGTCCTG